GGGACATTTACAGGGGTACATAATGTTATAGGGGCTCATGGGCCCCTGATGGGCCGTCTGGCGATCGCCGGCCTGATGGGCCGGAGGGGCTTCCTTAGCCCTCGGGGGAGCAAACTTGTCAAGGCGAAGTCATCCTCCTTCGGCAGACAGTCTTCGCCTTGCACCCTTCGCCTGAGACGCCTCTGGCCTGGCGCTACTCTTTGCCTTGCGCCATTATGCTCCATAGCCTTCGCCATGGGTTTCGGCAGGTTTGGTCGAAGGGCCTCATGCCATCCGCCAACAATCTGGATGGTTAATATTTTACTGCGCCTATTGATAAAGCACGGATAAGATGAAAAGAGAAAAACACGGAAGGTGGGGTGGAAAAAACAAAAAAAACAACCGAGAAAATGTGGGATGCGGAGAAAAGGTGGGTGGTAAAAAAGGAAAACCGAAAGAAGAGAGCATTGTGCGGCGCTCAAACTAATATTTCGCGCTGTATGAATAGTGATACCGTTAATTTATATATCATATTATATATTTTATTTATATAAAAATATGTCGAAAAACCGTCCTAAGTAATACTCCATTTTGATACTGATTACCTTGACTACGTCCTGCCTCCTGCCTGCCTCACCAGATCTCCAGTAGTGGAGTGCTCTCCAGATCTCCAGTAATGGAGTGGTGCCCCTCCTCGGGCGTTCGCACGCACCGCGCCGTGCAAGGGCAGCCGCACACCTGGCGGAGCTACGCAACAAGCGGCGCTCACGGGCCTCGCCCACCGGGCCCCCACCTCGGCGCCTCACGGCCACGAATCCCCTTCTCTCTCCTCTCCTCCTAAACCACCAACTGATCGAACCGATGGAATCGACCGTGTTTTGGCCTCTGCCTATCAGCCTTCTGCGACGACTTGCTCCGGCTTTCATGCTGAGTTGAGTTGAGTTGAGTTGTTGTTTGCTCGTTCGTGATCCGGGGACCCATTGACCGGAGGTGTTGGATTTACATGGGGATACAACAGTTGTTATCATGGTTGATGCAATGTCATATGGCCGCATGCTTAAGGGTTTGAATTCTAATATCCTAAATTAGTCATATACGTTTTCTGTAGAAACTTATTGGGTAATGAAATTATTGGACCTATGTGTCTTGAATGTGTGTTAAAAGGCACACTTTGTGTGCGGCTGTGTGTGTGCATGGTGGTGTTTATGCGTATGTTGCCTTTCATGTCATCGGAACAAACCTACGCGCAAATATGCACGATTATTCTAGGGGGTTTAATGCATTTGTAGTATTTGTACTTTGTTTTGTTCGCATCGGTTTGGAGGGCTGAAATCAAGTGTTGCCCAGGTTCAATGACTCGAACTTAGCTTGTCGCCACAAATTGCCAATCTCATAGGTACAATTCTCAACCACCGATCCTGATTTTTGGATCACTTCTTGGCATTATTCTTATTTCCTAAAATGGCTTTATTACTAGGTGTTGTTGGGTGTGTTCTCATGATGGATACCTATAGCTTTGCTCAATTCACTACAATGAACTGTTTCAAACAAATTGACCTCATACGAAAACGTATATTAGATTTGAAGCCTTGCAAAAATTTGATAATGACAATTTTTTTGTAAGGCGCCTGCATTATTTGTTTTACATGAGATTTTTATATTCTTCTCAAGCTTATTTGGTAAAGCCAAATTTATCTTGCTATGGAAATACAACATACAAGTACTTCCTCCATTTTTAATATATAACGTCGCTGATTTTTTAGGTGATATTTAACTATTTGTCTTATTAAAAAAATTACATAAATACCATTTTATTTTGTTATGATTTATTTTATCATAAAAGAAACTCACATATTTAAACTAAATTTTTAAATAAGATAAATTGAAAATGTTATAAGAAAAGTTAATTGTGTTGTATAAAAAAAAGGCAGAATTAAACTTGGGTAACAATGCCAATGAGTGACAAATTCCATTACTAGCATTTTATTTATATGAAGCTTCTAGAGCTGGTGACCCTAGTCACGAGAGTGCACTGATGTGACAAGTGGTCCAGACATTCCTGTACCTTTTGCGATCGTGGACCGTGAAAATGATTCGCTGTGGAGATCTAACAAGAAACTATCACAGCCTAAGGGGGTGTATGGGAGAGAGGGGCTCTTCCCGGGCCCCTCTCTTCCAAATACCCTTTAAGATAATAACATAAAATAATGTTGATTTATTTTAAGATGAAAGGAGTTACCTCTTGCCCCCATTTTATTTAAGAAGGGTATTCTATATTTGGAATATATATTTAACTTGATATATGTAATGTTTTTAAATTATGAATTTAGCTCCTCAAACAATCTAATATGAAATTTGCTCTTATATAGATTTGAACTCAGAATTTTAGAGTGCTAATACGGGCCCATTACTTCAACCATAGTTACAGATACCGTGCTATATGCAAACAACATCTTTTGTGAGGAATTTTGGTACGAGGGGCACATGTACCATGTAAGAAAGCGGAAGGACGCCCGGTCGCCCCGCTCCAGGTTGGCGGAAGGACGCCCCGTCGCCCCGCTCCAGGGTGACGCGGGCGGCGAAACCTCGCCGTCGCCTCCTCACTCTCCTCCTCTCCCCCACCTCGCTGCCGCCCGAGCAGCCGCCGGCAAAGCCAGGCGGCTGCGAAGACGGTGGCGGCGGGGCTCCCTTCTCCCTCACTCCCGGTCAGCCGGTTGGGGCGCCGACGACACCAGAGAGCGAGAGCGCGGCCCCGGCGACGACGGCCAAAGCCGGCGCCGTTGGGTTTGGATCCGGCCCCTTGGCTGGATCTGGGCTGGGACACGCGGGTTGGTGGCGGCGTGGCGCGTGGGCCGCGCGGAGGCGGCAGCCGCGGCAGTGGCGCGGGAGGCGCCCGTGCGAAGGTGGTGGGGTAGAGGTCCATGGCTCCGGCGACGGGCAGGTGCCAGATCCGGTCGCCCCGCTTGGCCGGGGTGACCGGCGACGGGCTCGGTCGATGCCGGCGCCGCTCCACGGAGCAGGGGGGTGGCTGGTAGTGGCGATGGTGGCGGATGTGGCAACGACGAAGTTGGCGACGAAGGTGGCGGACTGCGGCGCGTGCCGCGACGCCGGCCCTCGTCAAGAACCTCGCCGCCATGAGAGAGGCGCGGCACCCGTCAATTGTACGCCATGCCCGTGACGCCTTCCTCCATGGCGCCGGCGACCCGCACTGCGCGCTGCACCTTCAGGTCCGCGCCACCCCGGCCGGTCTGGATGGTTGGCGGCTGGCGACGGTGGCGGCTGACGGTGGCGACTGGACGGTGGTGGCTGACGGTGGCCGCTGGACGGGGGCGGCGGTGGCGGTGGCAGTGGCGATGGTGGCTGGCGGTGGCAGTGGCGATGGTGGCTGGCGGTGGCGGCTGGCGGCGGTGGTGGCTGTGGCGCTGGCGGTGGCGGCTGTCGACGGTGGTGCAAGGCCATCATCCGGGGCTGACGGTGAGTCGTCGTCGACAGCGGCATGCGGAGGCGGGGAAGGAGGAGTCCGGGTGCGGGCGCGCCGTCGAGAACTGTGGGCGGTGGCCTTGGCCGAATTTCTGAAGCGACAATGTTGTTGATCGACGAAGATCCTTCTTGTGCGGATTGGTGGTGTGGGTTTGGACAGGGAATCGCGGGCGAAAGCCTTGCCGAGCCGTTTGGCCGGCTGACGACGGCGACGACGTTTGGCGTCGTTCCCCTTCTTGGAGGCGTCGTTTTAGATTACCCCTCTCCTTTCCTAACCATATTCTCCGGGTGAAAACCTTGCTTCGTTCCGAACGAGCGGTGGCGGCGATCCACGTTGCGTCCTCCTTGGGGGCACTACTTTGGAGAAACCTCTTTGTACAAGGATTGTCAAGGGTCTATGTATTGGCTTCGAACTTCAGTCATAGGCTTTGACGAGGCCTTCTAGCTCCACATGTTTTGCTTTTCTTAGTTTGGGTCCTCTTTTTTCCTGTTTGGTGTGTTCAACTTGTCTTGAACTACACTCTCTTCTGGAGTGGAACTTTGTAATAATTGGCTGTAGCTCTTTTTGAGTAAAGACCGGGATATTATATTCCATTATCTTAAAAAAATGTACCATGTAAAAGGACATGCTGTTCGACCTCGGCTGTGTAAAAAAGTCTAGGTAAAACGGTACCTATCCTTAAACATAGCATGAAAATACTTTTATCACCACAAACACACATTGCATGCTCATATCAACACAAACACACATTGCATGTATGTCCTCGATACATGCTTGAAAATTATCAGAGGGATGAAATGACCTCAGGAGCATGGCCTCAGCATGCACACGTGTAATCTTAAAATTGGGCGACACCTACACCAAAACGGATTATACATTATTCTCCACCCCAATGATTCGTTTATACCTAAGCTCATCCATACTGCTTATTAGCAACTTTAAAAAATAATTTATTGGTAAACGTACCCTTAACAACTCAAAAATAAATACGTAAAATAAACTCCGACGAAAAACCACAAAATTCAGTCCTTTTGAGGGCCAGTTGCACAATATATTAACAAATGTGCCTGCACTTCAGGGCAGATTTGAACGGTCCAATATTCTGTGCATGTGAACGATTTTTAAATCTATAATAAAGCTAATTTAAATTTTGTTTAGTCCTAATCGAAGCTGAAGACCAAACAGACGCTTATAATGGGCACCTTTTGTGTCCTAGGCCCTAGCCCTGTGACCCTTCCTCTGAACCTTTATGGCCATTGGGAGATCACATATGTAGGGGACGATCGTGACAACAGCTCGTGAGTCATTGGAACCTTCCCCTTAATATGTCCTGTAATGCCATATTTAAGCCAATCCACAAGCTTTAGGCAAACAATTACCACACTAGTAGACATATAGTATGAATACTTGAAAATTTCTACAAGTATATGTTATTCTCCCCTATTTTTTTATTATTGTTTTTCACTGCAGAGCCGGCAAAAACTGAGCCAGCAAAGATTATACAAGTCTTTCTTTTCGACATGCTACCTGCAAAGATTCATGTGACGAAAGCGATAGGCGATGAGATCACTCTCCATGCTCCATGCTGCAGTCTACTCAACACCACCCCAAAATGGCACTGATCTCATTGCCTGGGCTTTGGACATGTGTCGCTCTTCTCGTGGCCATCTTCTCCATCCCATTCGTCTCCACACGAGCATGAGGGCGCAGACGTCTCAACCTCTAGCCTCTCTCTCCCAGACTCCAGAGCAAGCAAGCAGGAGATCACGAGCTCACAAGTATACCGAACCCGTCGTCGTCGACGCCACGCTCGCATTGAAACAATTTTCGCTTTTAGGCTTTTAGCAAGAGAGTGCCGCTTTTGTCCCCCTGTTTCTTGAAGCAGAGCTGCGGTTTTTCGAGTTTGCCGGCGGCCATGGGAGGAGGACCTTCGAGGTTGGGCTTGCCGCGGTTGTTGATGGTGGTGGCGCTTGTGCTTCTGCCATTGTGTGGTTTCGGTGTCCATGGAAGGAACCATATCCACAAGAAGCCGCATGGCGGCGGTGGCGGAGGAGGCCGGCAGCACAGGGGTGGCGGCACGGTGGTGTCCTCCCCTGCGGTCCCACCGGCGGACGAGCAGACGCAGCCGCCTGGCATTGTCCCCTCGGACCCGGTCATCCCTGCCCAGCCGGAGCAGTGCGTGTTCGACGTCAGGGCGTTTGGTGCGGTGGGCGACGGCACGACGGACGACACCGAGGCGTTCCGGGCGGCGTGGAGGGCGGCCTGCGCCGTGGAGTCGGCCGTCATCTCGGTGCCGTCCGACGGCACGTTCACCATCACCACGACCACGTTCACCGGGCCGTGCAAGCCCGGCCTCGTCTTTCAAGTGGATGGGGTGCTGATGCCGCCGGACGGGCCGGACTGCTGGCCGCCGTCGGATAACCGGCGGCAGTGGCTCGTCTTCTCCAACCTCGACGGCCTGACGCTGCGCGGCGCCGGCACGATCGAGGGCAACGGCGAGGGCTGGTGGAATCTCCCCTGCAAGCCTCACAGGGTACTGCACAACACTTTTTTTTTTTTTGTCTCCGATTCATCCAGCTCGCTCGTCTCAACACTGGCTCTGAATTTGCATTGGTGACTCTGAATTCGGTGCAGGGTCCGAACGGGTCGACGCTGCGCGGCCCGTGCGACAGCCCGACGGTACGCATCACCATCACCATCACCATGAGCACAAACTAGCTAGCTAGCTCATCGACACCATACATATTGTTGACACATATGTCGTTTGTGTTATTTTTATCTTTATTTTTTTATTAAACTTATGGTTGTGCCGGATATGTAATCCATTTTCATTATCTAAAAATTATGTCGTTTGTGTTGGTGGTGCAGTTGGTGAGGTTCTTCATGAGCCGAAACCTGGTGGTGGAGGGCCTGAGGGTGGAGAACAGCCCGGAGTTCCACTTCCGGTTCGACGGCTGCAGCGACGTGCGCGTCGACGGGCTGTCCATCAGGTCGCCGGCGAACAGCCCCAACACCGACGGCATCCACGTCGAGAACACCCAGCGCGTTGCCATCTACAACTCCATGATCAGCAACGGTATGTTCTACTCTCATTGACGCCTTTTTTCTTTCCTTACGTTGTTCTTTTTCTAATGTGACATGGGAAATGACATGTCTTCCGGCCGGTGTAGGTGATGACTGCATCTCAATTGGGACGGGGAGCTACGACGTCGACATTCAAAATGTTTCTTGCGGCCCTGGACACGGCATAAGGTACGTAGGTAGAACCCATTATTCTCCTCTATCTGTTTTATTTACTTATTTATTTTTTCCAATATTAAATTCTAATATTGGATTGAAGAGGGAGAAAAAAAGCAGAATAACTTATGCATCACTTGGTCCCGTTCCTTTTTTGGTTGTTCTCTCTTCTCTCATTTATAATAAATTCGGTTCACAAACAGTTTTGTTTGTGTACATACGTTGCCGGCGATCAATATGTTGCTTGGATGTGGGCACGGGGCAACCTGCAATCCTGACTATACGGTTCAGGAGAAAGCAGCAAAGCGTCAGAAACATCCAAAGCGTATAAAACGCATGACGGCATCAGCTTAGCTACCACCCGTCCACCCTTTGTTTCTGCTCGTCTTGTTCTGCCTTATGATCCGCTGGTGTCCTAGATTACTTCCAGAATTTTTAGTTTTTTTTTAGAACATCCAGAATTTTTTGTTGGTCACTCACGTCCTCACAGGAAGAGTGAGATGCTGAAGTAAATGGAGAGAGAGACAAGAAAAGTTGGCCACATGCATGAAGAATTTAGTTCACATGATCGACTTCACGTGTTCAGAGAATGGAGGCATAGACATACCTGAACACCACCTTTTCCTTTAGGAGTACAATCCTTCAACAATTAAGAAGAATCCAATTTTGAGCAAATTCCGTGTTTGATTTCATTCTCTGCTGCTGCCGGTGCTTAGTACAGATGAGTGCGGAAAATTTACGCTAGCATATATAGGAGCATATAACTCCTACAGAGCATTGCAGTTTTGCATTTCAGACGTCTGTGAGGTACGTAATGACGACATAGGTGTCTGATAGATAATTGATTGATATATTATTAGGGAGTGTTAAAAATATGTTTAAGTTTTACGAGTAAAAAACTTTTAGATGTAACTATAGCATAATTAAAGTATTAAAGTGTAATTACATAGTAAACTGCATTTTAACTACGATACAACTTATATAAAATTTGCATTTAACTATAGTTTAGTTAGCTAGCACTGGGAACTTATGCGTGACTTGTAAAAAAATTATTTTCAGCAATTTTTTTTTCATACACAAATCTCGAAACGATCGGATGATCACAAATCTGAAAATTTTAGAAGCAAAAAGCTTACGAAAGTTTTCTAGTAAATCCATTTGGTTTTGGTGGTGCATGTGCAGCATCGGGAGCTTGGGCGTGCACAACTCGCAGGCGTGCGTGGCGAACGTGACGGTGCGGAACGCGGTGATCCGGAACTCGGACAACGGGCTGCGGATCAAGACGTGGCAGGGCGGGATGGGGTCGGTGTCCGGGATCAACTTCGACACGGTGAGCATGGAGAACGTGCGGAACTGCATCATCATCGACCAGTACTACTGCCTGGACAAGCGGTGCATGAACCAGTCCACCGCCGTGCACGTCACCGACGTCTCCTACGCCAACGTCCGGGGATCCTACGACGTCCGCGCGGCCCCGATCCACTTCGCCTGCAGCGACACCGTCCCCTGCACCAACATCACCATGTCCGAGGTCGAGCTGCTCCCCTTCAGCGGCGAGCTCGTCGACGACCCATTCTGCTGGAGCGCCTACGGCCTCCAGCAGACGCCCACCATCCCGCCCATCTACTGCCTCCAGGACGGCCTGCCGGACTCGCTCCTCGACAACCCGGACCTCAGATGCCGATGATCTATCGATCGTCGTCTAATTAATGCTTCATACACACTAGCTAGCTAGTGCACACTTTATTGCATGCCTCACTTAAAAGCTGATGAGTTTAATTATATAGTATGCAAATTAATACTACTAGTATTAGTATTACTCCACTATTTACGATTACTAATTTTTGAGTTATGTGAAGCTGTACTGTACATGTGCGCATCTGCTCCCTCTTGATATTACTTGTGTCGCTTTAAGTCATTGCTGCTTCCAATTGAATTCTCACATTCACAGTTTCTAAAAATCAGTATATTGGCGACACATTAAAGCACGCACACATTACAAATATATCCTATTCCTTCATTTTTCAAATTACTTATCGTTCTATTATATCCTAAATAAAAAACATTTGTACCTTTTTTTATCATTAATTTAACATCATAAGATTTATGTAGATTTATGTTTGTACATTCATCGTGAGAAATACTTTTATAATATATATAATTCACATTTTGTTAAACTATACATGACCACAGTGTAACAGCTTTTGGATTTGGGAATATTGCCTTCACATTGTGAAGAACTTCAGTGACATAATATATCGGTTGTTGAACCTGATCGCGCTCGATAACGAGAATAGTACTGGCCGAGTACGGTGTGGTGACATTGTAGAGGAAGAGCTCCTCCTCTGGGTTGCGAAGCGACGAGAATAGAAGAATTTGCAAGATATCGTTTAAGTATCTGGAAAGCTTCTTCGGTTACTGTTGTCCACTTAAACTTGTTGTGCTTCTTCACTAGGTTGAAGAAAGGCAAGCCTAGCTTTCTCATGCTGGCTACGAACCGACCGAGTGCTTCCATGCATCCGGTAAGTTTTTCAACCTCCTCAAGCCTTAATGGCGACTTCAAGTTCTTGATAGCCCTGATCTTTTCTAGATTGGTTTCTATTCCCTATCCAGAGACTAGAAATCCATGTAGTTGTTGATATTTCTTACGATCATAGATAAATCCGTAAGCGCATGGAATACCGTTGTAGCACTTCCCCTTAAAGTATTCCAATGGTACCGAACACGAGGAACGTGTGTGTATTATCTGCGATCAGGATTCGATCCAAGAACAACAACCTAGGATAAATTGGCTATAGAGAATTCCTATGTCTTTTATTGAGTTAATTACGTTAAAAGTAAAACTCAATCGAATGCTTCGGGCATCGGCCCTCCCCTGGTCTTCCAGGCTGAGTCCGACCTTCAGCTCTATGATGTATCCGAACGTGGAGGAATACGAAGGATATATATGACTGCCACCACCTGCTGCCTACCTCACTTTCCATGGAGCACACAATAAACGAAGGTAATTTCTAACATAGACATCACACCTAAGTTATTAATTACTACTCTAGCCTTGTGGATGAACTTCCTTTTTTATAAAATTCCTAAGGATTCATCATTAAGAGCAAGGTTCATATCATTGGGTCATCTCTCATTAACCAATAACTTAGATAACATGCGGTCCTAAGAATATGATTCACAAGCAACAGGTATATGCAGGGAATAAAATGTAGGTAAGTCATTTTAACATGCAAGTCAGAGACTCTCACTAGCACGGGATAGGTCATCTCAATCGGGCAACAAACCTCATCTGTGTCGGGGAGGGATCCTGTCACGAACCAAAGGTTACAGATGTGAGAAGTCATTTGTATCGGACATTTGACAATCACGGATGACAGTTATCTCAATAGGGCCAAAACTAAAGCCTGTCACTGATATGCTTGACCCAATAGATGAGTCAAACTAGGGCCAAACATGGGCCCGTCACCGATGATATCATATGTGACGGACTCATACTTGACTAACGGACTAATATTTTTTTGAAAAGTAAATAATTTTATTTCGACGAGATTCGTCAAATTTTTTGAACTTAGCCTAAATTTAGAATAAATTTTCCATGTAATATTATTTGTAATCTTTATTATTATAAAAGCGAAGTTGTCCACACGGCTAAGGGCTAGGCAGACAAGGCACGGGTCCTACTCCCTCACCACCATCGTACTTCCTCAGCCACTTAAAAAAAAACCTATCCCATGTAGAGAACACCCCACCGAAAAAGTAGTATCCACGAGAAAATCAACCCACTAAACAATCCGCATTCCTTTGTGTTCTTTCAAATCAACTAGTTGGTGGCCCGCGCAATTGTGTGGCTAGCATCAATTTAAAATTATCTATTTTTTACACATGATTTTATTTAAAATTATCATTCCCGTGATTCTAATAATTTTATAGCTTTTAAAAGCCACTCCAGTCGCTACCCCTTACTCCTTTGACACCTTTTTATTTGGTTACTCCATCTACCACTACTTCTATTTATCTTTAGAAATTTAAAAATTAGGCCTTATAGTTTTTAGAGTTCATTATCTTGTTGGGTTTTGTTTTCGTAATTTTTTAGAAGTATCATCAAACATCGCCAATTTACTACTCTACGGCTCGTCCATAACCACCTCTCTTTATTGTCATTGGGATTTTAAAAGTTGAACATAATTATTATTTGTGTTCTTTTTTACTTTCTATAAGTCTTCGCCATTATACTCCTCTACAGCCCGCCCGCTACCTCCCCTCCTTATTGACATTAAGATTTTAAAAATCGAACATGATTATCACTGGGGTTTATTTTTAGTCTCCATAAGTCCCGCTAACCGTCATGACCATGCTGCTTAACGGTATGCCCATCGTCACTTCTCTTAATCTTTATTGGGATTCTATTTGAGGTTTTGTTTATAGTTTTTAGATATTCCATCAACTGCCAGCACTCTACTTCTTTACAGGCCTATTGCTTCTCCCCTCTTTATTGTCATTTGTCATCGTTGCTTCTCCCCTCTTTATTGTCATTTGTCATCGTTGTGATCTAGATGGACTTTCTTTTAAATTGCTTATTTGTCATTCCGATAATTTTTATTCATAAATTATATTCCTACTTGAACTCTTATAATTATTTTTCTATTTTGAAATTTATTTTATTTTTTATTTTGAATTTTAATTAATCTCGCCATGTGTTCTAGCTTATCTCTTATTTCAATAGTCTTTATTTTTTATTACAAATTTGAGTTATTTATAAATTTTATTCTAGTTGAGCTCTTCTTTTTATTTTTCTATTTTCTGAATTTTTTTATTTTTTATTTCGAATTTTAGTTAATCTTGTATTGTGTTCTATATAGACTTATTTTAATATTTCTTATTTTTATTTCCAACTTCATTTTTTTTAAAATTTTATTCATACCTGAACTCTCTTTTCTATTTTTTATAATTTTGAATTTTATTTGATTTTTTATTTAATTTTTAATTAATATCGTATTGTTTTTTTAGACGGGCTATTCTTTCAATATTGCTTATTTTTAATTTCGAATTTTAGTTATTTTCAAATTGTATTCTTACGTGAACTCTTCTTTTATTTATTTTCTAATTTTGGATTTTATTTTATTTTTATTGTGAATTTTAATTAATCTTCTGTTGGGTTGTTATATGGACTCTTATTTCAATATTCCTTATTTTTAATTCCGAATTTCAGATATTTTTAAATTGTAAGACTCTTCTTTTATTTCTAATTTTGGATTTTATTTTCTTTTTATTCTGAATTTTGATTAATCTCATATTGGGTTCTTATATGGACTCTTATTTCAATATTGCTTAATTTTAAATCCGAATTTCAGCTATTTTTAAATTGTATTTCTACTTGGACTCTTTTGGGTGGCCCGCGCAATTGCGCGGCTAGCACCCAAACAAAATTATGTATATTTTTAGTATGATTTTACTTAAAATTTATTAAATAGCTATCTCATTGTCTTAAGACTTTGAAAGACCAAACCTTATCATCCTCGTGTTTCTAATTATATAGTTTTTAAAAGTCACACTAGTTGCTACCCCTTATGTCATCTTCTTCTTTATTTGCTTGCTCGGTCATCTTCTTCTTTATTTGTTTGCTCGGTCATCTTCTTCTTTATTTGCTTGCTCGATCTACCACTATTTCTATTTATTCTTCTTGGAACCTTTAAAAATTGGATTTTATAGTTTTTAGAGTTTATTGTCAAGTTGGGTTTCATTTTTATAATTTCTAGTTGTCCCATCAAACATTGCCATTATACTCCTCTACGGCCTGTGTTGATGGTCGTTATCGAACGGTTTCGACCGTAAATACTACCAAAATAGAGGAGAACTAGTGATGCTTGCAATGCATAATCTGTTAGAATAATAAACTTCCACTACTATTAGGTATACTAACCTCTTGCAGGGAATGACACTAAAGTGGAGGAGAATCGACATCAACTCAGACGATAAATCAATCGGACGATGTCGAGAACCAGTCTTGTGTGTGAATAGGCCAAGAACTCAGAATTGGCACGATGAATGGGGCCAAAATTCACAAGTCTGCGGAGAAGAACAATGGAGAAGGCCACCAGCGAAATTGGGCTGGATTGGGTCGGCCCCAGGTTCGGCCGAACCTCCCTCACATCCGTTGGATCCAGGTTTTGGCTGGACGGTTGAGATGAAGCCCCAATGACGGTTGGAGAGTATTACCGACCATTCCAACCGTCACAACCATCATAGTTCAGCTATAAAAGGACTTCACCTTCTCACTTCACTCACACACCTCAAGCAATAGCTCTCTCATTTCTCTCAAGTTTAGTTTAGTAGTATCTAGCTGGTGGAATAGAAATAGAATAGGAGTCAGGAGTCCGGAAGCCTTCGGAAGAGTTTGGGTATGGCTCTAGCAGCTTTTCTCTTCTCTTTTGTAAGCTTTATACTTTTATTAGAATACTCTTCTATATACATTTATGGTACTGAAATACTCTTCGAGTATATGTGTACCTACTTTACATTATGTTCTTGTTATACTGAATATACGGCTAGCTTATTTGGGAGATGCTTTGGTGCGGGTATAATGTTTGCATATGCAATTGCTCTATGTCATGACGATGATATTAGAGTAGTATTTGGTAATTTAGGCGTAATGTCTAGATTATGAGATATCATTATTTGGGGTTATATATTGCAGATGAGAGGTGGGCCGCTGATGGTGACAGCTCAATACGGGTATTCCTCCGCGCCTATATATAATCCTAAGTTAATTCCCTGGGGATGGTATTCCTCCTTATTTAGCCCCGGTTGTATGGTCATGACGGGCTGTCTTAAGGAACTCGGCAGTCAGGGGTGGCTTCTCGAAGTACCAGGAGGGCATCGGATAGAGGGTATTAGCTAGTATATCAGTTAACTAGAATGTATGTATACTATGTATATTAGAAGTATAGGAATAAATTCTCTTTCTCTTTTCTTTCCACCTAGCTTAGATCACTTATTATGAGAATAAGTTGTTAATGCTTGTGTGTCACTCTACCTTTGGATTATCTTAACCCCTGCTTAGAATATGATTATCACAAGTAATATATAAACTATTAGTCAATCTCTCTCTACATGATCTTCCCATGGGATAAAATAAATACGATACCCTTGGAATACTCTAGGGTGAAATGCTCCAATGGTATATCCGTGCGCTTGCGGATGAATTCTGTAACCATAATTGACTAGAAGTATTTCTGCGCCATTGCTGGGAATTATATTTCTAGTAATGTCGTTAAGAAATACCAATAGTGAAATGCTACAATGGTATATCCATGCGCTTGCGGATAAACTCTATAACCATAATATACCAGAAGTATTTCTGCGCCATTGCTGGGAATTATATTTCTAGTAATGTCATTATGAAATACCAACAGCCCGTTCACTGTCTCTTCTCTTTATTGTCATTGAGATTTTCAAAATTGAACATAATTATCGTTTGGGTTCATTTTTACTTTCTAGAAGTCCCACCAAACCGTCGGCGGCTTTGCCATTGTACTCCTCTACGGCTCGCCCGCTGCCTCCCTTCTTTATTGTCATTGAGATTTTAAAATCGAACATGATTATCATTGTTTTTTTTTACTTTCTAAAAGTTCCAAACATTTAAAAATTGGACTTGTAGTTTCATTTTGTATAATTTTTAGAAGTCCCATCAAACGATACCACTATGCCCCTCTACAGCCCGTCCGCCGCTAACTCTTTATTGTCATTGTGATTCTAAATATCGAACATAACTATCGTTGGAATTCATTTTTTATTTTCTAAAAGTCCCGTCAACCGTCGGCAGCTCTGCAACTATACTCTTATACACCCCGCCCGCTGCTTCTCCTTTTTATTGTCATTGAGATTTTAAAAATTGAATATCATTATCAATGGGGTTTGTTTTTTTTACTTTCTAGAAGTCCCGGCAACCGCCTTACTTGTTTGCTTCACGGCTTGCCTAACGTTCCTTCTTTTAATCGTCATTAGGATTATATTTGGTGTTTTATTAACAATTTTTATATCTCGTATCAATCGCTACCACTCTACTCCTTTATAGGCATGTTACTTAATTTATCTCATCATATGTCTTAGATGGTCTTTTCTTTCAATAATATTTATTTTTATCACAAATTTTAGTTATTTATAAATTTATTCATAATTGAAATCTTATTTTTCTTTTTCTAATTTTCAGATTTTTTTAAAAAAATTAGTTAATATCGTATTGTGTTATTTTAATGTTTTTATTCTTTTTATTTTCAATTTCAGTTGTTACAAAATTGTATTCCTACTTGAACTCTCTTTTAATTTTTCTAATTTTAGATATTATTTTATTTTTATTCTAAATTTTAATTAATCTCGTATTGGGTTCTTATATGGATTCTTCTTTTCAATATTGCTTATTTTGAATTTCGAATGTCAGCTAATATTAAATTGTATTCCTACTTGACCTCTTCTTTTATTTTCTTTTGCTAATTTCTGATTTATTTATTTTTATTCCGAATTTTAATTAATCTCGTATTGGATTCTTATATGGACTCTTCTTTTAATATTCCTTATTTTTAATTCCGAATTTCAGCTATTTTTAAATTGTATTCCTACTTGTACTCGCATTTCCTTTTCTAATTTTGGATTTTATTTTATTTTTATCTCGAATTTTGATTAATCTCGTATTGGGTTCTTATATGGAAACCTATTTCAATATTCCTTATTTTTAATTCCGAATTTTAGCTATTTTTAAATCGTATTTCTACTTGGACTCTCCTTTCCTTTTCTAATTTTGGATTTTATTTTATTTTTATTTCAAATTTTGATTAATCTCGTATTGGGTTCTTATATGGAAACTTATTTCAATATTGCTTATTTTTAATTCCGAATTTCAGCTATTTTTAAATTGTATTTCTACTTGAACTCTCCTTTTTTTTTTTTCCTCTGATTAATGTGGAAATTTCTAGCTCCTATAGTGAACGTGATGTCTCTTTTTAAAGCTGTTTTAATAATATAATAGATAGATGGATGGATGGATGGATGGATGAACTTTTAAAAAGAGAAATAAAATTTTCATTTCTATAAGGTAAAAGGTGTGTATATGTGAGAGTGATCAGGTGCAATTGTGCGAAGTAGGGACTTCTATGGGCGTGATAACCAACCACACCGTCTAGACTTCATTAATTATTCAGTGACTCAATTAGTTTATCGCTACGTTTTTTCTGATTATGATATAGATTTAATATCGGTTTTTGCTAGTATATTTTTCAAATTACTAAATAGTGTGTCTATATATAAGTTGTTTAAAATATGAAATAAATTTATTTTCTAAGTTTGTAATAACTAAAACTCAATTAAACATACGTTAATGATTTTCTCATTTTGTGTATGCTAGTGCTGACTTCATCTACATCTTAATCTATCCAAACCCCCCTGTGATTATTTGCTTGTTTTTAGTAGAAACGACGAACAAGCCGCATAGTGTGTGTAGATAAACCATATTTCATCTGGCATCTGTACACGAATAAACGGACAGAACAATAAAGGATTCCACGGGATGACACGCCGAAAGTAACAATTGAGTAACATTCTATTCTATACTACCTACAGGCTACATGGCTCTGCACGCCCATACATCTGTCACTAGGCCCCAAACAAGGAGTTGAGACAATTGGACGAACCAACATCATATATAGAAGTCTGCTCATCTGCAGGTCTGCACTGAAAAGCCGATCGGCAGGGAGTAGCTGCAGCATGAAGAAGAAGACGGCCGCATCCAAATACCTTTGCTTTGCGAGTTTCACCATATGTATCCCCTCCGCTAAGCAGCCGTCCGGCGGTGACGCCAAGAATCGTCTCAGCTTCTCCTTCCCGGAGAGCATTAACGGCGGCAAGGACCGGCGTTGTCAGCAGCACACGGAGGAGGAGCATAAGTCCGAGAGCATCATCGACCCGGCGGCTTCGGTCGTCACGAGGACAGACGGCAAGCACTGCACCATCATCGTTGGCACCATCTTTGGCCGCCGCAGCGGCCACGTCACCTTCTGCGTGCAGCGCGACGCAGCCATGCCGCCTCCCTTCCTCTTCGAGCTCTCCGTCCCGATGCTGTCACTTGCCGCCGAGATGGGCTCCGGCCTTCTCCGCATAGCCCTCGAATGTCACCACTCCAGCGGCAAGGTGGTCGTCGGTGCTGCTGACGGCGACACCATCAACAACGCCGGTACGGGCGGCGGCGGCTCGAGGAGTGTCTGGAAGGCGTCCTGCAATGGGCGGGACGTGGGTTACGCCGTACGGCGGCGGCCCACCGACCAGGACTGCCGCGTGCTGGAGAGCATGAGGATGACGACGACCGGCGTCGGGGTGCTACCGTCGACGGGGTTCAGCGAGGACGGCGGCGGCGGAGATGTGCTGTACATGAGGGCAACGTACGAGAGAGTCGTGGGTTCAAAGGACGCCGTGTCGTACCACCTCATCACTCCCGGAACAGCCAGCGGCAGCCCCCAGCAGGAACTCAGCGTCTTCTTGCTTCGCACCAGGGGTGACTGAAACGTAGCAGCGTATTACTGTCGATTTCATCTATTACTGCTGCACGTATTCACCAAGAGGGTTTGCTTGCCTAGTTCAGATATCTTCCTTTCAAAGCGATGGTCAAAGGGATTGTCTTATGCTTGTCCTCGATGTGCTGCTTTGCAAGGCGATGTAATGGGGGATTTATGACCCCTAAACTCTGTTATTAATCCATAACAACAATATTTTAAGTTCTTTTTTTTTAAAAAAAAATGAACTGAAACGACTACGAAGTCCAAGTAGACCATTTGCACGCCATGTATTAAAAATAAACGTCGTGAATGGTTATTGTGAACGCTGAAATCTATGGAGTATATGATGAGGACATCAATTTTTGGATACATACAAGGGAGGGGTAGGATGTACTTGAAAGATGTCACGCTCAAAAGTTCAGCTAGGGTAATATTTGTCGAGGAATCGAGCTAGCGTATATAAAATGATAAATTAACATACTTATCCAAATGTAAATAAAGCTTAAATATATATTTAGTCCTTACGCTAAAGAAGAAAGCAACATCGGAAAATGACGATTCTAGCGGGGCTTCAGCTCCGCTCCACAAGCAAAACTCAACTAAGATATAAGCCTTGATCTTCTAACGTTGTCTTCAGCACATAAGAACTAAACTTCTTAAAAGTAAATATAGTATAACTGTGTACAACCACCGTACTTAGCAAGCTATACCAAGGATGCCTTTGTGTAAGAGGAGACGAATAGTGGTTTGTCGCTATTTGCATAAATACAGTTGTAAATATCTATTATATTATTAAAACAGCTTTGAAAGGAGGCACCACGTTCGCTGTGGGGACTAGAAATTCTCACATTAATCGGAGAAAAAGAAAAAAAAGGAGAGTCCAAGTAGAAGTACAATTTTAAAATAGCTGAAATTCAGAATTAAAAATAAGCAATATTGAAAGAAGTTTCCATATAAGAAACCAATACGAGATTAATCAAAATTCGAAATAAAAATAAAATAAAATCCAAAATTAGAAAAGGAAATGATAGTCCAAGTAGGAATACAATTTAAAAATAGCTGAAATTCGAAATAAAAAATAAGGAGTATTAAAAGAAGAGTCCATATAAGAACCAAATACGAGATTAATCAAAATTTGAAAAAAAAATAAAATCCAAAATTAGAAAAGGAAAGGAGAGTCCAAGTAGAAATATAATTTAAAAATAGCTGAAATTTGGAATTAAAAATAAGCAATATTGAAATAAGTTTCCATGTAAGAACCCAATATGAGATTAATCAAAATTCGAAATAAAAAAAATAAAATCTAAAATTAGAAAAGGAAATGAGAGTCCAAGTAGGAATACAATTTAAAAATAGCTGAAATTCGGAATTAAAAAATAAGGAATATTAAAAGAAGAGTCCATATAAGAACCCAATACGAGATTAATTAAAATTTGGAATAAAAATAAATAAATCAGAAATTAGCAAAAGAAAATAAAAGAAGAGTTCAAGTAGGAATACAATTTAAAATTAGCTGACATTCAGAATTAAAAATAAGCAATATGGAAAGAAGAATCCATATAAGAACCCAATACGAAATTAATTAAAATTTAGAATAAAAAATAAAATAATATCCAAAATTAGAAAATTTAAAAGAGAGTTCAAGTAGGAATATAATTTTGAAACAACTGATAGAAAATAAAAACATTAAAAGAACACAATACGACATTAACTAATTTTTTTTAAAAAAATTGAAATTAGAAAAAATAAGATTTCAATTTGGAATACAATTTATAAATAACTAAAATTTTTTATAAAAATAAAGATTATTGAAAGAAAAGACCATCTAAAACACATGACGAGATAAATTATGTAACATGACTATAAAGGAGTAGAGCGGTAGCGATTGATACGACATATAAAAATTGTTAATAAAACACAAAATAATCCTAATGACGATTAAAAGGAGGGACGTCAGGCAGGCCGTGAAACAAACGAGTAAGGCGGTTGCCGGGACTTCTAGAAAGTTAAAAAAAAACCCATTGATAATCATATTCGATTTTTGAAATCTCAATGACAATAAAAAGGAGAAGCAGCAGGCGGGGTGCATAAGAGTATAGTTGCAGAGCCGCCGACGGCTGACGGGACTTCTAGAAAATAAAAAATAAATTCCAACGATAGTTATGTTCGATTTTTAGAATCACAATGACAATTAAAGAGTAGGCGGCGGACGGGCTGTGGAGGGGCATAGTGGCATCGTTTGATGGGACTTCTAAAAATTATAAAAAACGAAACTACAAGTCCAATTTTTAAAGGTTCAAAACTTCTAAAAAGTAAAAAAAAACCAATGATAGTCATGTTTGATTTTAAAATCTCAAAGACAATAAAGAAGGGAGGCAGCGGGCAAGCCGTAGAGGAGTACAATGGCAAAGCCAATGACGGTTTGGTGGGACTTCTAGAAAGTAAAAAAATGAACCCAGACGATAATTATGTTCGATTTTTAAAATCTCAATGTCAATAAAGAGAAGAGACAGTGGACAGGACGTAGAGGAGTATAATGTCAACGTTTGACGGGACATTTAGAAATTATAAAAATGAAACCCAATATGACAATAAACTCTAAAAACTATAAAATCCAGTTTTTAAAGGTTCCAAGAAGAATGAAAAGAAATAGTAGTAGACCGAGCAAGCAAATAAAGAAGGAGATGACATAAGGGGTAGCAACTGGTATGACTTTTAAAAACTATATAATTAGAAACACGAGGATGATAAGGTTTGGTCTTTCAAAGTCTTAAGACAATGAGATAGCTATTTAATAAATTTTAAGTAAAATCATATAAAAAATATATGATTTTGTTCAGGTGCTAGCCGCGCAATTGCGCGGGCCACTCAGCTAGTTTGTAATTGAAAATAGTAAAAAACAATTGCATATTTAAGTCAAAATTAATCTCCATAGAACAATGCTACCCCACGTTGAACAAGCCCAACCAAATCATCTGAACTACACCAATTCATTAAGTCAAGTTAATTAATAGTGGGACTAATAACGGCAAAGTTGGTCGATCACTCATAACCGTGAGCACGGCTGTTTGAATAGTTTTACTCTAGCTAAAGGCGTATAACTGTATCCACAAGACATGATTCTATACAGGTTGCCATGCCCCGAAGTACCACCATGATACTAAAAAAAAGAAAATTGTGACTGGTACCTTCGCATAACTCCCCCTGACCAAACGCACCTCACTTGCTAGACTCACCCCCACCCTAAACTAAGGTGGGCAGCCCCGTCATATGTCACGGTTAACCCAGAAGCCGATCAACCCCTAAAACTAGGGTCGACCCAACTCCATTATGTCCACTATTGGTATTTCTTATGTTTATAGATAAAATCCGCAAGCGCACGGATATACTGCTGTAGCACTTCACCCAGTACAAATGCATTTGTGGTAAAATCAATAATTCAAATTTAAGTGAAATATTTGAATTCATAAAATTCAAAATTCCAAAGCTACAGCACTACAATTCCATTCAAATTCCAATCCTAGCCATTTTGCAGATTAGCCCCTCCATCTTCTCTTTTCCTTTCCTTCATTTTCTTTTCCAGTCGGTACTGTTCATTGCCTAGTACCTGTTCGATCTAGGCCTACAACTTCCAAGCCCAAGCCACAGTACTAACAGACCACACCCAGCCGTGCGCTCCTCCCAGGTGCGTCGCGACCCTAGCCAACCACGCCTCCCTCTCGTGTACCGCGTACCCCTAGCCGCGCCACACCCACGTCATGCCTGGGTCGCACGATGGCCGCCTCCTTCCGTGTACACCACATCCATCCCGCCCGCGCTACGCCAGGCCGCCTCCTCACCACGAATCTCAGCCTCCACCTGTGCTCTCTCACTGCAGGTATGAAAGGTGGTAAGCACCCTCACGATCTGCGTGATTGTTGACGGTCGTTATTGACTAGTTTCGACCGTCATTATTACCCAATATATGAAGACTAGCTATGCTTGCAATGCATAATTCCCAAATAAAATATCTACTTCCACTATGTGCTATGCTACTAACATGTATGCAGAAGAAGCACGCATGAATGGAGGAGAATCGACGGAAAACAAACGAACAATTAACCGGAAGCCGTCGAGAGGTGATCAGCCACCAAAGTTGGGAGAGAATGAACGTAAAAAATGTGAATATATTTTGCGCCAATGGACTCACATGGTTTTGAGCTACAACATATAAAATGAGCAATCATTCTGAGCCAAAACATGGTGTACCATAAAGTGGGGCCCACATGTCAGCATCCTGAAGAAGGCTGTGGGCCAGGGGAGCCAGCCAGTGTTCGGCCAAACCCCCAGCTGGCCCAATCCAGCCCATCTTCGGCCAGGTGGTTACTACCGGCATCTTATGATGGATGGAGCTAATTCTATCTTAAGAAACCGTCATGGACACATGGCAAGAGGAGATGAAATATGCTCTTTGGATGCTTGAGTATGTCACTTGTCATGAGGAGAGCAAAGATGCTCATAGGATGCTTGGAGCATCTCCACACTCCCAAGGCACCTCTCCACCTATAAATACCCTTCCTCTCATTCAGTCCCTCACACACGTCAAGAAGAAGATCAAGAGTTCTCTCAAGTTTAGTTTAGTACTTCTAGTGCTAGTGGATTAGGAAATAGAATAGTCTTCATAGTCCTCGAGTCTTCAGGAGATTTCTGGTATGGCTCTAGTAGCTTTCATCTCTTTTTTTGTAAGACTTATTGAATTAATAGAATATTCTTCTTTATACATTTTTGGTATTTTATTCCATTCATATTATTTGAGTGCTGACTTTACTATATACTTGGGTGTAACTAGCTTTCCAGATAGGTGTATTGGTGTGGGTTTAGTGTCCGAATATTCGGTTGCTCTATGTCGGTTGCAAGGATGTAGAGTAGTATTTAGTAATGTAAGCGTGGTGCTTAGTTTATTAGATACCATTAATTGGGGGTATTACACAGTGGTTCAGAGGCTGGCCGCCGATGGTGACGGCTCAGTACGGGTGTCCTCTGCATGTGTATATTATCCTAAGTACAATTTCTTGGGGAGGGTACTCCTCCGTATTTAGCCCCAGTTGGATGGCCATGACAGGTTGTCGTAAGGAACTCGTCAACCGAGGGTGGTCTCTCGAAACACTAGGAGGACACTGGGTATGGGGTATTGGTTGCATGACTGTATAGTAATTAGTATAGACTAAAGATGTATGTAT